TTTAAAAAACACTGAGTGAGCAAAAATTTGTGAGATAGCTAGTTATAATGGTAATTAAACAATGTTTACATATGAATAAAATGCTACATTAAAATCTGTCATATAAATAGGTCTTTTCATTAGAATAAGATTCTAATTAAGATGCTAATTAGATTAGCGATTGCCACCATTGATGGACAACTTTTTTTAATAATATTAAAAATATCTGTATGGCATTATATTCTGCAGTTCTTCCCTGTTGTACCGAATATCTATACTTTTCAAATTATCATATCGAAGTTAGAAATTCAAATATTGTGACAAAATTAATTTTGTAGGGTGCCACAAGTTTGTTAAAATTTCCAAAGGGTGCCGCGACTAAAAAAAGGTTGGGAAACACTGGTCTAGAGCCTCTTCAGTTCAGTCATGGGTATCAAAGGGAGGAACAGTTAATGGCTAGTTTTTCTCTCACTCTCAGGCTGCGCTGTTTCTGAGTCATAAAAGGAAGTAGAATCAGGTCAGCCTGTGTACAGGAAGGAAGGAACCACATACAGTTTCATTTTGAACATATTCATTTGCGTCTGGTCATTTTTTTTACCCCCACCTTCAGTCAATTGTCTGTTCAACCAAAACTGCAGATGTTGGCTCCATATAAACATGTGTATTTCCTAGTTTGTCATGAGGGAGAAAGCATATGATGGCAATGGAAATATTGTAATCTTTAATTGCAAAATAATTGATAGATCATGAGTTTCTGTTAACTTAATTCACACGTAAGATCCTCTAGTTAATCATTTCAAGAGGAAGGCGGGCGAGCATGCTTCATTGCCTGCAGTAATTAAGCAAAGTCGTTTTGCTGCTAATTAGCTGATTCTAAAAGGATCTGTTTTTTGTGTAATTAATTATCAAAGACACAATCGGCTGCCTCGTTTAGGGAGAAACCGCTCACACACGCAGCAGACGTGTCTTGAGTGCTCATTGTTGCGTCAGTTGAAAGCCTTTGCTCGCTTTCTGTGTTGTTTACAGTCTGCGTCTGAAGGTTTCCTCTGAAGTTCTCCACACAAAGTGATGGTCTTTGACACCTACCGACTACAATTAGCAGGTGTATGCTTTAAAGCCCTCTGTTGTTGCAGATTACGGGTTGTTTTGGTGGAAGAATCATCTCTAGGGCTAGCTGAGACTCTTTCTGCCTGGGGTCCTTTTGTTTGTGTGAGGAAATGTAAAGTTTCATGTAGCCTTCAAGTGTAGTGTTGTAATTTTGAGTTCCGTGCACATAAATGGCCACAAGAATTTGTATTCGCTTATGGGATGCTCTGAATTCTCTGATACCAGAGTAAAGTTGGAAAGGGATATGTAGACATCAAAGATGGCAGAAAGCAACTCTGCAGTTGACAGCGATGAATTACTTTGTTGATTGAGTTATTTTGACTTTCAGGTGTCAAAACTTGTAAAGCTTTAAGTTGGAATCAAATGGGGGTAGCGACAAATCTTTTCTTCTGTGTTGTGAGTGTAATTGTTTATCAAGAAACAGGGATTTGGTTTGATTTATCGGTTGTTGATTGGATTTTGAGATGTGGGTGTTGTGCTAAAAAATAAATGCAGGCTTGCTGTTGATTGAGGAGAGGCAGGGTTAAAGCCAACTAAATTAATGGAGAAATCCAGAATACACACCAGAGAGAAGTCTGTTGTTTAAAAACTAATTTTATTTTTTTAAAAAAAACATATGCAAGAATTAATCGTTCACAGTAAGATCAATAACATGCAGTAAAAAAAATTAGTTTTCATTTCATGCCCACTTTAAGACATGCCCTTCACTGTTTGCATTATTCAAAGGAAATAAATCATTATTAAATAAATGCACAAGTATCAATAAATATTAATATACTGTATTTATATATTTATAATAATACATTAATATTATGTGTATTAATATTATTATGTAATTATACTAATATATATTATTATTATTATTATGTTGATTTTTTTATTCATTATTCATTATTTTATTTTATTCATGGTTTTACTTAACATTATTGTATGTAATAACTTTTATTAATATTATTATCATTAATTTCATGCAAATATTCAAACATTCTCTTTAGAAATATTCTCTTTAGAACACAAGCCTGATAGATTAATGAATCCTGTAATTAATGCATAAATCTAGTTGTGTAAAAGTAATGCAGTATCCTGGTGTATTCAGCAGGGGTGTGAAGTAACGAATTACAAATACTCACGTTACAGTAATTAAGTAGTTTTTATCAGTAATTGTACTTTTTTGAGTAGTTAAAATTGTGTACTTTTACTTTTACTTGAGTACATTTTAAGTGATGTATCGGTACTTTTACTCCGCTATTTTCCTCCGTTTGTAGTTGTTACATGCTTATTTTAATTTCATTTTTATCCATCAACGTGATTGGATAGAGAGTAATAGGTCTCGTGACTTTCGTCAAATCAAATTGTGCATAGAAAACTTTAACCGCCAACTGTTTATCATGGCTGCTGGAGCGCATTCTTCAAGCATCAATTCAGTCGCATCTTCCTCTAACTTGATATGTTAAGGTAAATTTATTTTGACTTTCAGGTGTCAAAACTTGTAAAGCTTTAAGTTGGAATCAAATGGGGGTAGCGACAAATCTTTTCTTCTGTGTTGTGAGTGTAATTGTTTATCAAGAAACAGGGATTTGGTTTGATTTATCGGTTGTTGATTGGATTTTGAGATGTGGGTGTTGTGCTAAAAAATAAATGCAGGCTTGCTGTTGATTGAGGAGAGGCAGGGTTAAAGCCAACTAAATTAATGGAGAAATCCAGAATACACACCAGAGAGAAGTCTGTTGTTTAAAAACTAATTTTATTTAAAAAAAAAAAACATATGCAAGAATTAATCGTTCACAGTAAGATCAATAACATGCAGTAAAAAAAATTAGTTTTCATTTCATGCCCACTTTAAGACATGCCCTTCACTGTTTGCATTATTCAAAGGAAATAAATCATTATTAAATAAATGCACAAGTATCAATAAATATTAATATACTGTATTTATATATTTATAATAATACATTAATATTATGTGTATTAATATTATTATGTAATTATACTAATATATATTATTATTATTATTATGTTGATTTTTTTATTCATTATTCATTATTTTATTTTATTCATGGTTTTACTTAACATTATTGTATGTAATAACTTTTATTAATATTATTATCATTAATTTCATGCAAATATTCAAACATTCTCTTTAGAAATATTCTCTTTAGAACACAAGCCTGATAGATTAATGAATCCTGTAATTAATGCATAAATCTAGTTGTGTAAAAGTAATGCAGTATCCTGGTGTATTCAGTTATGCTTATCTAATGGTATAGCAGAAGTGACAGCAATTGTGTCATCTATTGATTTTGTTTTGGCTACTTCCCACTTTTTTCCCTAGACTTGAATATGTAACGTGTCATAATAGCGACTGCCTAACTGTGGAGTAGAGGTTTACCAGGTGCACTTGAAGGCAGCAGTAGCTCAGTTTCAAATGGTAAATCGCGGCACTGGAGTGGGTTGCCAGACTTGCCACATGTGGAATTTTCTGAAGGTCCTCAAGAATCTAATATTGGTATCTCTGAAGTGCTCTTCTTACTGCAAAGCAAAGTTATATCAGCCTCATTCAACACTAATGGAGGCTAATGACATGAATAAAACACAAGCGTACAGCAGAAGGCATTCGAGAGCGAACCGCGGGACAGTTACTGCATTATTTTAGCCCGAATGGGGACAGATTATTCAAACTGAATGCTGAAAATAGACTGACGCTGTCTTTCAAATGCTATTTTGGAGAGCAGATCCATTTCTGTGCAAGAATTGTCATGCCGAAGAACCGGCAAATGATATAATTGCCTCTCCTTGAGTTCAAGGCCCAAGCAGGGCTCTTACAGCTCATCAAGTGAAAATGGCACATCCTTCTGTTCCTTTCTGCATGTCTTTTGGGGAGCTTCTCCATCTTTTCGCAGCACTAGGTTTGTTGCTGTTTCTGCTGTGTCATAGATGATTAGCATCATGCTAACTAGATTTGTTTGTGAGGAAGAAACAAGGTGTGCGAGCTGACAACAAGATGACTGGCTTTTATTTTTGCAGCTTTAAATCTACACTTGACACTATTGTAAAATGAAAAAGTGCTTTGAGCTTCTATGGGAAAATATCCAGTCTTTTGTAAAAAAAAAAAAACGACCATTTTTGACAGCAGAAAGTCTCGCACGTCTGCCAAACAGCCGGTCTGTGAATGAGGCTCATTTTTCAATCAAACAATAGTTTAACAAGCTCACACTTACCGTGAACCGTCTTTTCCACAGGTGACAAGGTGGAGACATTCCCTGTCCTGGAGATCGACCAGAGCGAGATAGTGGACACCAACGGTGCTGGAGACGCCTTTGTTGGAGGTACTGTGCGACAAAGCTATAAAGATGTACTTTCAAAGTACATCTTTAATAACTTCAATACTTCAAGTAATAGTTCACCTAAAAATACAAATTCTGTCATCATCTCACCCTCATGACTTTTCTTTTTCCTGCAAAACTGATGATGATGATTATGATTTCAACTGTTTTTGTCAATACAATGGAAGTCAGTGGTGTCCAGAACAACATTTGGACCCCATTGACTTCCATTGACTGTATGGACTAAAAAGCGACATTTTTCTAAATATCTTTTGTGTTCGATAAATTCTATAGTATTATTATTATCATTATTATTATTAATGTTTAAATAAATATTACAAAATATTCATAGCCAGCCTAATCTAATAGATTAATTAACCCAATAATTAGTTATTAAATTACAGAAGAATATAATTCCGGTCAGCATACAAATTGATTGAATTATAATAACAAATGGATTATTGTTGTTATGAAATACATTTTCATACAAATATTCAAACATTATTTTAATTAAGTCTCTCTAGAACACAAGATCTGATAGCCTACTAAACTAATTAACCTGATAATTAATACATAAATCACAGAAAAAGGAACTCCAGTCAGCATGCAAATTAATTGAAATGTTGAAACTGGTGCCGTAGACTCAGATTAGTTTTAGACGCAAGTATGTTCAAAGAAAAGATCACTATAAATATTCAAACATTATTACAAATATTTTAGTCTCTCAAGAACACAAGGTGTAATAACCTAATAGATTAATGAACCCAATAATTAATGCATAAATCACAGAAGGAGGAAATCTCAGTCAGCACACAAATGGATTGTATTGTTGAAACAGGTGTCCTAGACTCAGACCGGTCCTAGACGAAAGTATGTTCAATGGAAAATCACTATTGACAGGACAATTTAATCCAGGATTAGGTTTGATCTGTAACCTCTGGGAAACCGGACCGTGATGCAAGAGCTCTGTCACGCAGTGCTTATTTATTTCCTGCGCAGCTGCTCTAGAATGACAATTTGCAGATGAATTGTAGTTATACTTCATTCATTTGGCTTAGTTTAGTCACATGAAGCTGTCAATGTACTATTGTACTATTTAACCTCAGATAACACAGTTACAGGGAAATAGATCACTTTCATGATGGATTATGGAGTTTCCAGACTCCCCACAGCCGTCTTTAATCTGCGGGTTTCGCTAATAACCGCGCGTTCAGATAGCCGCTGCGTGTCTACTCCAATCTGAACTGTGAAGCCATCCATCAAAAGCTTAAAGCACAACGCTGTTTGGCTCCTCATGAAAAACAGAAATATCAGTGTTGATCACGCCGTTCGCACGGGTTTTTCGGGTCCGCGTAATTTATCTTCATACGACGCCTCTTCCGCGGCCCTCTGCTTTTCAAAGGCCACGAGCCTGATTTGCTAACATGTCTTCCTGTAGCTCTTCCAGGACAACCTTGCGACTAATAGAGCTGTGAGCGTGTTTGCTCAAACGCCGTATTGATTTTTTTAACTCCTTTATCCGTTCCAACAAGAGGTTGGAGGCCAGCGCTCTGCCGTGTTGGAAAATGAATTTGCCAGCTGTTTTTCAATGCGCTCCGCCGCTGCTGCAGAGAGCAGAGATCTAGGTGGGAGGGTTCAGAGCCCGGGGTCAGCTGGAGGATTTCTGTATCGCACATCACTAAAGGGGGCCTTTTGCATCACCTTTCCCCCTTAAGCCTGATTTCCTTAATTTTTTAAAAGAAAGTACATGCAACAAAATCGATACCCGACTACTTTTCTGAGCTAACATTCGCCGGCTTATGTTTATGTGTGTGTTTACGCACTCGAATGTGTGTGCATGTGTGCGTTCATTAAACATGTTTGCACATGCTTTCTGTCTGTCCAATCTTTTGCAATCTGATTTGTCTTTTGTTTTTTTTCTTCTTTTTTTTTTTCATTGTCTGTTTGCATGTGTGTGCAGGTTTCCTGTCTCAGCTGGTACAGGATAAGACCTTTGAGCAGTGCATCCGCGCTGGACACTACGCTGCTAACGTCATTATTCGCCACGCGGGCTGCACATTCCCAGAAAAGCCAGACTTCCAGTGATGGACCGCTGAGAGACCGGAAGATACGGCCGCCCGAGTGTTTTATAGGACTAATGCCTTTTTTTAATTGACTTTTTATCTTCTGTTCCTCTTTCCTCTCTTGTTCACTGCCTGCCTTCTGCTGTGCCTCTATTTTCTCTGATTCACAGCCTAATGCGATCATAGAGACATATTTCACATTAAAAACTGTTTACAAAAGAGGAATTTCTGTTGGAAATATTGAATTGTTTTTACTAAAGCCATTTTAGAATCATGGTTAAGAGTGTTTGCTAACAAAATTATTTTAGTTGTAATTAGCTGTAAAAACTGAAGCCGGTATTACAAACATACAGGAGCCAGATGAACTTTATTGAAATCAAAGGCTCATTTTATGTCAAAGAAATTTTGTTGGCCAGTCTTGCTGATGTAAACCAAATGTATTTGTGGGAAACACTTAAATGTGTCACAAACTGCCAAAATAAACAAAAAAGGCTGTATTACTGCTGTCACTTGTATTCTCTTCCTAACCTTATAATTATTTATGCAGGATGTGTAAATATGTTTATATTTTACATAATCTGTTAGTTTTTTTTTCAACAGAGAACCTGGACTCCACTTTTGGCCTATTTTACTCTCTCAACTTCTGTGTCCTATTGGATGGTTAGAAAGCCTCCAGCTTCTACCTGTCCTCTTGATGACAGTGGCAGGTCTGCATGGGTTCATCTCTGTGATATGGGATGAGGAGTAGCTATTTGTGAGCATCATTAGAGAGACTGAAGGTACAGCTGACCCTTTGTCCCAGTGTGTGACAGCAATCATAGCAGATTCAGTTTCTGTCACTGACAAACCTGTTCAGGCCCTGGCATCACTGAGCACATGGTTTTAAACAACCCACAAGTCCATGCGAAATCCTTAATGACAGCGAAGGACAAAGTCCTTGAGCACTATTTTACATTTTCAGCTCACACACACAGTCACGCTTGTGTTTTTTTCCACTTCTCTAATCCTCCCGCTGTGTTTTACAGTGATGCTGGGTGTTTTTAAGACCTGCGAAAGTTGCCTGTGAGGTTTATAAAACATAAGTTGATTCACAGGTGTGTTGCTGTTGGACAACATTTCAGTCAATGGGTATAGAAGACATTATGAAAGAACAAAGTCAAACAAGAAAAACAACACTTCTGATATAGTTGAAATTTTGGTTTCTTTATATTAGGTGTCTGCAACTATATACAGTACAGAAAGATTATGTACAATTATGTACTTGAGGTGAGATATGGTTAAGGTTAGGCATAGGTTTAATGGTATGGGTAGATTTGAGGGCCAGTTGTATTGTATAAATAAATTTGACTTGACTTTTAAGGGGTAGGTTGAGGTCAACAGTGTAATTACAGATGTATTAACAGAAATTAATTACAACTAATTACATGCAGGTATGATTTAAATACAAGTACAGTGTAAATATATAAATATATGGATCTACACGATAAGTGTTAGTACATAGTAGTTAAAGACACAATATAAAGTAGGTTACACATACACACACACACACACACACACACAAACGTTTTCAATACACAACTTGATATAAATGTGTTATCTCATTAAAAATGCCAAACTGTATCATCTTAGTTGGAAAGCAACAGGACCAGTTTATTTAAAACAATGAATCAGACCAGCTACTGTGTGACTTTATTTAAAGTTTATTCATTTCATAATGATTGATATGCTTAGAGCTATTTGATTTGGTTTGGTCCACTATAGCAAATATTGTTGTATTTTTAATATTATAAAGAAGAAAACCATCTAGTCAGCAATCTAGGAAATGCTTGTCTTTGCTTAGTTGGAACATTCAACACTGTTGTATTTTTGTTGTTAGAAAAATGCAGCAGCATCGGGAAGGTCATCAGTTTGAGCTAATCTACTTACCCTAGTGCTGTTATACCTTTGTGCAGGGCATTTATCCTGCCTCTGTCTGCATGTGAATATGAATGTGCCAGTGGTTGAAATATGCAAACATGAATAATTCCAATGTATCTGCCTAAACTGTAAACAAATGTACCTTGGCTTTTGGCATACAAATAAGTAACACTGACTTGCAATAGCCACACACATTACAGTGCTACAAAAAAAGGTCTCTGACTGAAAATAACACCAGTTATACCTGAGAATTGACAGGTATTGTTAAGATCCAATGCAGATGATCAAAAACAACAATGCTTGGTTGTAACTTTAAAATAAAAAACTGTCAAATGTCAAATACTAAAGTGGATCCAACTGAAAGCAGTGTAATTATATATAACACAATATTTAGTGTTGTGCCAGTATATCACACCCAGACCAGCTGCTGTAAGCAGCTCAACCCGGTGTTTCAAAAAAGACAACTGAAGACAACCCTTTGGTGTCAAATCTCCTTGATCAGGCTTTGTTGGAAGCCAATATGAAGACTTTTGCCAAACTGTAACCACATCCTGCATGGCTCAAGTTTTATTTAGTGTGCAATTTGTTTTCCTTTCAGGCACAGTAAAAAGTAACATGTCCATGGTTCAGATTGCCCTGCGCTACACCAAATTTTCACTGCAGGGCGAAGCCATGGGCTTTCAGGTGCGTTTGCAAACTGTCAGGGGGTTTTGTTGCAAATTTTGTTATGGAATGGTTTAGATTTACTCCGGCTATGTTTTTCCAACTGTGGTGAAGCACATTTCACTGTATTTAATTGATGCTGGTATTTATATTGCAAACAAACATCAATTAAATTCGCAACACCAGTGTTTATTATAATTATGCTATAGGCTATGCATGTATTCATAAGAAACTGATTTGTGCTGGGTGACATTAAAAGTTTCACCTTCCTCTTCAAAAAAAAACATGGCATATCACACAGCATCTTGTCTTTTTCCCCAAATAGTTTCAAATTTAGCATAATTGCATATGACTATTGACTTGGAGCCGATTTTGTATGCGTGTCCCAATAAGCGATATTAAAAGTTTCCTTTTCCTCTTCACAGACAGGGCACATTATGTCTCCTCTTTTCCCACCCATGCCATGTAGTCTGAAACAATGTACATTGTTTCCCAATGAGCGATGTGATGTCACATAGCGGTTACAGCGAGTTAGTCCTCCTCTGTGGCTGATGGAGTGCCGAAAGGGGAGGGTACTACTCTGTCACAGACTCGTATGTAGATTAACCTTTCAATTAGTTGTTATCAGGTTCTCTCTGCCTACGCGTGCGTTCATCTTCCGAATCAAACAGGACCCCATTGGATTTATCAGGCTACTTTACGCATATATCATCAGCTTCGCAAATAAGCATGTTTTTATTGCTTATACGAGGAGCGTGGAGAGATCGCGCGAGGAACTTAAAGGTAAATGTTCGCTTTGCCAGCGTTGTCGGGCATTTATCTCGGCGGTGTCTTGAGTGGCTCGTTATCGGTGACATGTTTTAATCGTTCAAGTTTAAGTTGTCGTGAGTGATGTAACTTGACGCGAGCGGAGAAATTAATTCGGGTTATTGGGTTACGCGAACCGCGCAAGTATCGCAAGCTACTGCTTGACCCGCATAAATGGAATTTTCCAGATGCTATCTGTTCTCAGTTGCTTGATCTTGAAATATGAGTGCATTTTGCATGCTTTAGACAGAAGCGCGTAAACAAACGGCAGTCATCATCGCTGCTTTTTAGCGTTTCGGAATAACGGGAGAAATGATATGCCATCATCCGTTTAGGCATTCGCAAGATTTATAAATGTTGTCTTATTTGCGTGCACACTACCTTCGTGAGGATGCACGCGCGCTCGATAGTTCGTGGCCTCCAGTGTCTTTTGTAAAGTGCAAACTAATTATAATATTAGGTTACAGTGCACACAGCACGGGGAATGCCAGGGATAACTCGAGCACTTGGACTAATTATTCACCATTACATTATTCTCCAAAAAGTGTGACTAGGTCGATCTGCTCATATTGCAGTGTTGTGCGATGCTCATTAGGGGGAGCCTTCTTAAAGGTGTAGAGCGAGTTTCGGCTGATCTTACATTAAAGAGCCATCAAGTAGTTTTAAACTCATTATATTACATGATGATAAAATATCCCCGCTATCGCTGCTAACCGTACTTCTAATGCGGATAGAATAGCAGGTATTGCATTGCATACGCAGTAAGGACTAAAGAGCAGTTGACCCCTTAAAGGGATAGTTTGGTTTAAAAATGAAAATATTGTCATTTACTCCTCGCGTTGTAATAATTCCATATGACTAAAAATGAGATGATATGCAGAATGACAGCCTTCAGTTACTTATCACTTGTATGTGTAAAAAAAAAACACTGAAGGTAATAATGATTGAGGCTGTCAGTTCCTCACTTTCTGCTTAATGTCTCATTTTGTGCTCCACGGAAGAAAAAAAGTCATAGAGGTTTGGAAAAACATGAGATGATGACAGAATGTTCAGCGGTGTTGAACTATCCCTTTAAGAGGCGGGTCAAGTGATTATTGACAGATTATGAAGCCAACCGATTCCTCGAGAGGCCGAACTGTTTCCTTGTGATTGACACTTTGGTTATCAAACCAGGGATAAGTATTTGCCCTTTCTAACCAATATTAAAGTTTCTTGGGCGGGACCGTCTTTGTGAAGGTAAGGTTTAATGAGACTCCATTGGGTTGTAATCAGTGTCATGTCGGATTCATGTAAACTACAACATTGTAACAAAATGGCGTCTGTTTAGTAACGCGACCGGGCAAAGCGGCGAAGTCACCTGACCTGTCCACCGTGTTAGAGCGTCCAGAAAACAAGGTTTGCGAGACCTTAGGTTAATTGACGTGTTGACTTTGTCATCATAAATTATAGATAGTCATCTGTCGGAAGTAGTCATAAAGCATAACCTAATTTAGCCAGCTTTAGCTTAGCGTGCTAGACTTGAGCTCCGGGGCTGTTTAGAAAGCCGATGCTGGAGATAAGAAGCCGAATGCTTTTGAGATTCGCCTGACTTTAGCTCACTATCTCGGCTTTAATCAGAGGACTCGAGCTGAAGTAAGAGTGTCAGTACGCGTTTGTGATTCTGTGTTTTGTTTTAGCTGTAAACATTTCAGATGATGTTGCTAGACTCTTAATGTGAAATGTCACGGCCAAGTCGTAGTTTGTGACCAAAGCTGGAAGAGTGTAGACGAGATTTAAAAACGATGAAATAAGTGTCAAATCTTAAACAACACTGTATGTTGTGTTTTTAAGTTTGGGTTGAACATCCACAACGAGTGTCAATAGACTTGTTTTACCATCGTTTGTCCTGTTTTTATATGTGCTGCTAACACTCTGTGTGTGCTGTCATGCCTCCCCAGTTAAACTCGAGTTATTTAACTTCGTGGTTATTTATATAACTCGGCTAACCGAGTTGCGCCGTTCAATTATTTACCGTAGATTTTCTTGGATCTGTTTAGGCCGGATCTAATGTCTCAGAGGAATGGGTCAAGTGTTCCCCTCAGTATGTGTGCGAGGCTTTTTATATAACAATATTATGGCAGATAAGTTGTGGTTGAGTTTACACGGCTGCTGTTGGTGAGCGGAGGAATTCTTGAGAAATTGTTCACTGCATGTCACCTGCTGGCTGCTCGCAGCACTGTTCTTCCTCTGCTTGTGCTGTTTGGGTTTTTACACCAATAAATCAATGAGCTTAATAAAATCTTATGTTATCCACGGTGTGCTGTGTTTTAGCTTGTAGCTAAATGTTATATATATATATAT